GTACACTCTGGGGGGAATGTTTGCCGTACTCACTGTACTCTGGCCACCCTTGTTACAAGTCCATCATGCGACTTGTTTAACATGTTTACTTTTTAAACATTTGGAGAACTAACAGGTGGTTGCATGACTGAGATATTTGTTTTAGCAGGCTAAAAACTGGGAGGTAATTTAGACATACACTATGATGCAGTAGGAAAATACCTAATTATTCCATTTTTGGCTCAGCTTTTCGTTTCAGTTAAAACTACTGATAGGAAGGCTCTACTGGTTTTGTAGAGGAGTTCTCTTAGCATTGCCTGCATAGGAGAAACTGGCTCACTAGCAATAATGGCCGTGTTTTAGTTACTTATATATGAAACCTACTTGGCTCTAGTGCTAGAACTTAGTAAAGATTTTCTTCGTGTGAATACAGACAGCTCTGAAAGCACCATATCTATTTCAGCATGCTCTAGAAAGCCACTTGGAATATTTTTTGCCTGTAGATAGAAGCAGTGAGCAAATATCCTGAAAACAAGAGAGCTACTTGTTATTAAGCCTTGGTACGTTCATCCCGGGGGGTCAGTATATAGGTTATGATTGGCTCTTGGAACTGTCCATCGAGCAAATAGGAGGAGCCAGGAATTTTGCAGGATAGTTTCTTGTTCATTTGGTTTGGAGTTAAGGGGCTACTGCCAGAAGAGACATGGTCAGGGATAGAGATTCTAGGTCCGTGGTGATTATCTTTGTCTATAAAGCGCCAGAGAGTAAATACTTTAGGATTTGTGGGCCATTTGGCCTGTATTGTAACTATTCAGCTCTGCTGTTACAGCATGAAAGCAATCATAAATAATAACATAAGCAAATGGATATGGCTATATTTCTTTGAAACTTTATTTCATAAACACAAGCCGCTGGACACGGTGGCTCACACCTGTAATCCTAGCACTTTGGGAGGCCAAGATGGGCGGATCACGGGATCAGGAGTTCGAGACCAGCCTGGCCAACATGGTGAAACCATGTCTCTACTAAAAATACAAAAATTAGCCAGGCGTGGTGGTACACACCTGTAGTCCCAGCTACTGAGGAGACTGAGGCAGGAGAATCACTTGAACCCAGGAGGCAGAGGTGGCAGTGAGCCGAGATCTTGCCACAGTACTCCAGCCTGGGCGACAGAGCAAGACTCCATCTCAAAAAAAAAAAATCGAGCAGTGGGTTGGATTGGCCCTGAGGCCACAGTTTGCCATCCCCTGTTCTGGATTCCAGAAGATACTCCACTGGGTTGTATGAGTGACCTCAGAGGAAGAGTAGCAGTGGTTTTCACTTAACTGGGTGGATACCTATAACCTTCAATATGCGTAGCCAAGACTTCACTGTATTTGTATGTAAAAAATTTGTTTTCAGAAAAGGCTTTATTTCTTTACTAGTTCTTTGGGGGCTGATAGGAATAGTGTTATTTAGTTATACTTCATTTGTTTCCTAGAATTGAGGTCCTTATGATAAAAAGAGCTATCAAAGTAAAATCAAAACCTACATTAAGTCACACAAAACAACTTCTGAATATTCCTTATCCGCCTGCCAATGCAAGCTGGTAGCTCAGCCATTTCTGATATATCTCAGTTCTTGAGGCACCTCCTAAGTTTCATACTGATACACTGTTTTATTTTATCTAGCATTATTTCCTTTCTTTTTTTTTTTCATTCTGAAAATATTTTCCCAATTGTTTTATGTTCAAGTCTCCTAACAAAGGAAGTTTTAGTGTCCATCATGTTTCTTCCGATTGAAGTATAAGGCAAGAACTCTTTTACCAAATAAGTGGGTATATGGAAAGAAAAGAAAAAATTATAAGCTAATGAAATTTTGATGGGCAAATGATCTGTTCAAAGCAGATTCCAAGGCTCACGGAGCTAACATTTTCTTAGCCACGGAAAGTGTTTCCAGTCATCTTACCGATGTATCTTTGCTGTCCAGGGGAAGGGAGTGTTAAATTACTTTAAGAGTTTGGTGGTCAGAAACACTCAGAGGTGGAGAGAGGAGGCTGGAATTTCCGCTGAGGGGCAGGCGAGATGACTTTCCAGTGGGCGTCAGAAGGTAGCAGCAAGGCCAAGTGATTTGAAGGACTGCCACTGGAATTGTGACTTCAGAGACAGCTCTGAAACAGGGAAACTAATCTATAAGAGAACTATGAGTATGTACAAATGATTCTATTTCAAAGGTCCTAGTTAATAGCAGGCCCAACTGCTTCACTAAGGAGATGCAGAAGATTCTGTGGATTGAGGCAGGGATCTGCATTATTAGGGAGGTGTGATAGCTGTGTCCCTGAGGACACTGAAGAAAGTGAAGAACTTCCCTAGAACAAAATATCAGTCAAGGATTCATTCACAAGTAAAGACAGAAGCACAGTCTCCTGGCAGTTGGAATAACATCAGGGTAGAAACAGAAGCAAGATGGGTGATGTTGAGGACAGACAGACCACCTGCATGACAGAATTTCAAGATGTGGTCTTGGGCTAACCTGTGATGGGCAAGAAATTAATTCTGTAATTGCCAGCTGGGAAAATGTTCAGTATCTGTTCTGAAAACATTGATTACCTCTGTAAATTTAGAAATGTTGTAACCTTTATCTGTTAGAGTAATAAATGTGTGTACTGTCTGATCCTGAAACTGGACTTCCATAGTTTATTATTTTTAAATACACTCAGGCTGGCAGAGATGTTTGTGCAAAGATTATGATTATATTTTTAAAAGTTGAAGTGAATTACAGAAAACTTGGCATTTGCAAAGTTTTTGGAGCTCAAAAACTTTGAAAAACTCCCTATAAGGAATTGCTGATCTGTATGTACAACCAAGGAAGTTTGGCCAGGACAAATCGTGTAGTGGAAAAGGAAATTTCAGAAAATGTATAGTCCCATAACTACAGATTTCACATCTGTGGATTCAACAAACGGAGCATCAAAAATGTTCAGCAAAATAAAAAATAACAGCCAGGCGTAGTGTCTTGCATCCGTAATCCCAGCTGGAAGGCTGAGGCGAAAGGATCCCTTGAGCCCAGGAGCTCGAGGCTACAGCGAGCGATGATTGTGCCACTGTACTGCAGCCTGGGCGACGGGGTAACTATAAATAATAATAATAATACAATAATTTAAAATAATACACATAAAAATACAGTGCAACAGCTATTTACATAGTATTTACATTTCATTAGCAATCTAGAGATGACTTAAAGCCTATGGGAGGATGCGTGTAGGTTATATGCAAATTCTGCACTATTTGACCTAAGAGTCTTGCGTATCAGTGTATTTTGGTATCTATGGGGAGTACTGAGGGACAACTGTATATAGAATGATCTCTTTGAAAGTAGTGGTAATCAATTTGTGTGTGTGTGTGTGTGTGTGTGTGGTGTGTGTGCGTGTGTGGTGTGTGTGTGCGCGCACGCACTCGCATGGACGATTTCGAACCATACACAAATTGCTCATGGTGGTTATGGGGCAGGGATCACGGTGGATGAGGAAGAAAGCCACTTATATATTAACTAGTTGGCTGTAATAAGAGAACCTAACAATTCTTGCTTGTCACAGACACCCTAAGGAGCAGGAAGGAGAGGGTCTCATGTAATGCCTGGATTCAGCTCAAGAAGAACACGTCATTAGAAGTGAAAAGACCCTTCTCTCTCTCTCTCTTTCTTTTTCTTTCTTTTCTTTTCTTTTCTTCTTTCTTTTCTTTCTTTCTTTCTTTCTTTTCTTTCTTTCTTTCCTTTATGTAGAGATGGAGTCTCCCTCTGTCGCCTGGGCTGGAGTGCAGTGGTGTGATCTTGGCTCACTGCAACCTCTCTCTCCCAGCTTCAAGCAATTTTCCTGCCTCAGTCTCCTGAGTAGCTGGGATTACAGGCATCCACCACCCCACCCAGCTAATTTTTTTAAAAATTTGTAATAGAGGCCGGGCGCGGTGGCTCAAGCCTGTAATCCCAGCACTTTGGGAGGCCGAGGCGGGTGGATCACGAGGTCAAGAGATCGAGACCATCCTGGTCAACATGGTGAAACCCCGTCTCTACTAAAAAATACAAAAAATTAGCTGGGCATGGTGGCGCGTGCCTGTAATCCCAGCTACTCAGGAGGCTGAGGCAGGAGAATTGCCTGAACCCAGGAGGCGGAGGTTGCGGCGAGCCGAGATTGCGCCATTGCACTCAGCCTGGGTAACAAGAGCGAAACTCCGTCTCAAAAAAAAAAAAAAAAAAAAAAAAAATTTGTAATAGAGATGAGGTTTCTCCATGTTGGCCAGGCTGGTCTCGAACTCCTTTCCTCAAGTGATCCATCAACCTCGGCCTCCCAAAGTTCTGGGATTACAAGCATGAGCCCCCGCACCCACGCAAAAGAGCCTTCTCTTTCATAACTAACCTATGAGGCTTATGTGTCGTCATTACAGATATGAAGAGTTAGATGCCTGTCTAACTCATACACTCATTTATTCATTAACTTAGCCACTCTTTATTGTGTGCCTACTGTGTGTAAAACACCATGCAAGGTACCTAGGCTATGTAGCTGTGACACAATAAAGGTATCCTCACAGCTGCAGGCTCAAGCAGAGAGACCCAGGCTGTAACCAGGAAGCCTGAAGGAGGTGTAACATTTAAATGAACACATGTCTGTGCCCAATTCTGAGTAACGGCAGTTGGTATTACATTGTAATTGGAAGTGCCCTTTGTATTAAATTTTCTTTCTTTTTCAGTTTTGTCTTCATTTTAGTCTTTGTTGTGTATTTTCAAATAGAGTTTCTGATGATGATTAGTGTTTTAGTTATGAAATGTTCTAGGAAGAGGTCACCTGGCTGCTCTGTGACAATGACCCACATAACCATAAAGTGACTTTGGTTTCTAATTGCATCACTGTGTCTCCTCAGCCTCCACAAAGGAAGAATCTCTAAAAAACAATCTTTATACATGTAGATAGAGATATATACACACACGTATATTTTTTGTCTGATGTCAACTCAGTTGTTTGTGTGTTTTTTTGTTTTTTTGTTTCACAGAAAAAGCAAAGGACAAAAGATCTTTCTCGAGTGTTTCATTCTTACAGTCCATATGATCACAAGGTAAGAGAAGAATATTAATAGCATATTAGATATTAAAGTCTGTGATTGTATAGTACAGTTTTCACCAACATATGGTGATTCTGAAATAACAATTACATTTATATTTCAATTTTAATTTTTTAGCCCATTATCCCTTTTAAAGAAAACAAACATGTTATATGTCTGAACTAAAACAATTATGTTTTATTCACCTTGAAATCTAGTTACATATTGGCACCGAAATGTCAAAGACAGTGAAAAGACACATTTTGGGGTGTATTTTGTTTGGTTGGTTTTTGTTTTTTCTTTGCTAACACTGTACTGGAGGAACTTGACTTTCGGATTGGTAAAGGTGATTGCACTGCTGACTGCAAAACTCGGTTTTTCATTGCTCCTGATAGGAAGTTATTTTTCTAAATAAAAGTCCTAACAAAAATTAGTACTTAGCATTAGATATGAAGTATCTACTGCCTAGAGCTTTGCGACGCAGAAAATGACCAGATAACGTAATGACCCCCATGTACCCAGCCCACAGTTCCATAGATTCATAGTCAGTCTTGTTTCATTTATACCCTACGTTCTGCATCCCTCATAGTTGAAGCATTCCTAGACATCTTTTCACTTGTAAGTATTTTACAATGTATTTGTAAACGATAAGGACTCTTTTAAAAAGAAAAAATATATAGTCATTTTTAAGAAAATACTTAACACCACATCTTCATGGGGAAATAGATGACAAGGTTTCTGAGACTTGTGCAAAACTTCTAAACCATGTAAGATTCCAATAAATCTGTTAATTCGAGGTGATTTCAGAAGCAAACAAAAAATTTGCACAGTTGAAATGCTAATATAAACTTAAATCTTTATCTATGAATTTACAGGGAGACATGTGGTAGGGATTTTTTAACTAGCCAAAATAAGTAGTGTGAAAACTACTTTCCTCAGTTGCAAATACAGAGATGCCTGGATTCAGGAGGGAAAAATTGTGCCAGTTCATAGAAGTTGAAAGAATTTGAAACACGAGCTTCTAGTGTTTCTATAGTGACCAATTGACTTAAGCACCAAAAGCTTGTAAAAGAGGTGTTTATGCTTCATGTGACCATGGTGATATGTAATACTAAAAATTATATCATTCCAAGTTAAATTTTTCAAGCTAAATCGATCACATTGCAGAATGCTGCAATGTTGAAAGAGGTTGAGAGAGCCAATAGTATCTGACAATGCAGACAGAAGGAGCAGGCTGATCAGTAATACAACAGGAAAAGGCATGAGATCGGCCAGATTTCTGAAGGTAACCTTGCATTTTTTTAGACGAAGCCCTTTAATGAACCTAAGTGCAGCAGTGGCTGAGTTAACGTTTAACAGCAACCACTTTTTAAAAAAGGCGATGGCAAATCCGAGGTTTTCTCTGGCTTGTCTAAGTTTTGCCCACTTCTAACATTGTTAAATTCACAGTTAAGGGAAATTCCATTCTTCTTTTATTAGAACTCTTAATGGAACCTAGCCATTTGCAGCTTCTACTGGCTTCCTCTTCATATCCTTTGGGGCAGGCTATCAAAGTCACCTCAGATTATTTTGGCTTCCCTTCATTCCTCTACAAATTAGTCATCAGGCAGTGAGGAATTGAATCTAAATGCTAGTTGGAGTTCCTTTTGATCTTTGCTTTAAGAGTGGTAATAAATTATTGTAAATAGCTAGACTGCTTGATGAGCGCCTTTTGAAGCTCCTAAGTTTTGGCCCGTTGGCGTTCTGTTTTATTCTAGATGTACAGTAGTAAAGGAAAATGGAAAAGTTTTATTCCAAGCAGCTCCCTTTTTATTCCCAGCCCCCTTAGTAGCCTCTACCTACTTCACTTTTCTAAGTGCCATCCAGGCAAATCTGACCATGTTACTTTTAACCTTGTCTCCTGTTGATTGGAATATCCACAAAGACTAGACCCATAGGGATAAAGGAACATACTCCGTTTTCCCAATCTGAGAATGTCGCTGTTTTTCCCCCATAAATGAATAGAGGGTTGTGATTAAAGTTATTTTGTCATTTTAATTACCCACTTATATTCAAACAAACTGGTTTTCTAGACAGATAGATTTTAGTGTAAAATATTTTATAAGACATGGTTAAAGTTGATTTAGACATCTCATGCTCAGTGAGATTTCTGGAATGATTATGAAAATATATACATATGTTGTTAGTGAAAGCGTTTATGAAATACATCACTTGTCTAGGATTTGCTTTAATGCAGGCTGATGCATTGGCTTATGACAGGAATCCCAGCACTCTGGGAGTCTGAAGCAGGAGGATAGCTTGAGACCAGAGGTTTGAGACCAGCCTGAGCAACATTGTGAGACTCTGTCTCCATTTTAAAAAATTAAAAATTAGCCAGGCATGGTGTTGCACACCTGTAGTCCCAGCTACGGGAGGCGGGTTAAGGCGGGAGGATCACTTGAGCCTGGGATTTCGAGTTACAGTGAGCTTTACTCCAGCCTGGGCAACAGAGCAAGATCCCATCTCTAAAAGAACAATTTTAAAAAAAAATCATTTCAAAGAGGCGAGTGGAAAGGGTACAATCAAATAAGATTGGTCATGTGTTGGTGATTATCAAAACTGAGTAATGTTTGGAGGGGTCATTATTTTATTCATTTTTCTATATGATTGAAATTTTCTGTAATAAAAAGATGCAAAAAGTAAAATAAACTATGGTCTGTTCCTGGGAGTGAATGCTGTGATAATTTGCCTCCCTAGCTATATTCATTTTAATGTTCATTTTCCCCTTGACGTAAGTTTATGCCAAAAAAAAATAGTCAGCATTTTAGTGGGTTCATCATGCTGAGTAAAGTCAGAAATGTAACTCCTATTCTAAAGTTGGCATAATTTCCTGGGGTTTCTTCCCAAATTACAGTGGGTCACTTAAATGATAGCCTTACCTACCAGAAACTGTTAAAACAGTTGTAATTACAAAGGGTAGTTAGTGCGTCCATTTTGTTCTCAGTGAGTCAGTTGTATTTGCTCTGTTTCCTTCCCCCAACCAAGACTGCTCCTCCCTGACCCCAGACACAGGAAAGTCACCAGGTTAAACAAACGTGTTGTTTGAGTGAGCCCAGGTGCATTTCTTAATCATACCCCAAAGCCATTGTTTAGGTTGGTCAGTTGGTTTTCTCTTAAATGCTGTTGCAAAAAGCAAATAAAGCTCAGAGCAAAATATGTACCCAGAATAAGGCTTAAAAAATACTTTATTTCTTGCACTAAGAAATGTTACTTGAGACTGGACGAATTTCTTATTTGATTATTGTCTCTGGTTCCATGTCCATTTCTTAAATTGTTTTCAGGAATTCTTATAACAAAGACTGATACAAAAGGGCTTGACAGAAGTTAATTCCCATTTATCTGTCCTTCTGAAAGAGAACATTAGTAAAGGTAGTCCCAAGTAGCAGTAATCTGGTTATACTTTATACATTATATTATTTCCTTTGTCATTTTAATAAACAGGTAATAAACATAACTTATATTCTAGTTTCTGAAAATGTACCACATCCTAAGTACTAAGGAAGGTTAGAGGGTCCAGAGAGCTTTCAGGCCACAAAAAGCCAACCTGGAGTTGATTTTTTTTTTTCTTTTTATAAATCACAGGTAAGTTAGAGTAGGCTTAGAATTAGAACACTTTTATTAAAACCATGCAAATTAGCATGTGCTGTGTGTTCTTAGCCTGAAGAAGACATTTCTCTGCACATAAAAATTATCTGTCTCTTTCTCTCTTTTTTGTTAAATTTTATTAGAATTATGTGTTGGGGGAAATCTAAGTTTATTAGCTAAACACGCGTTTATTATCTGCTAATATGAAAGTTATTCTAAAAAATTGAAATGCTTGGAAGGAAAAAGTTCTGTTTACTTCTACAGTGGTTTTTTTTTTTTTTTTTAAACATCTGCAAAGTTAGGTTTTAAACACAGTTAATCTGCATGAATTAATGTGCGCTCTGCCAAAAAAGTGAGTCTTTAGCATGTAGTCACTATTATTCTGTATTTTGTGAAGTGGGCTCCTTGTTCTCTTTGAGTGACTTGTTACAGTAATAATTTTTCTGCATATGTAGACATGTTAGTGGACACACTTGAGAAGAAACATGGTGAGATGCATAGCTCCTGTGTTGGTGACATGGGCTTTTCTTCTGATAACTACCATTATTTAATTACTTTTCTACATATATATGTATGTGTCAAGTGAACTGGAAGCAAATTCGTATATGTCATTAAACACCTACATATGTATGCACTTGGTAAGTTAGCCTTCGAGTAGAAAGAAAACTAACAATCGTGCTTTACTCAATCAGAGCATTTTTTTGTGCAACAATCTCAGCTTTTTAAAACAGCTCAGAGCCTCTAAAAAAAGCCTATTTAGGCCCAGATTGTTAAAATTACTGTTTAATTCTCTTCACCCATCTCATTACTTCTTCAGTCCCTCATCCACAAACAGTTCAATCTCTTTTTTAAAACAAATCAGTTTAAACTGATGCCTGGTTTCCCAAAACACGGTCAACACTAATAGAAGGTAATCAGAGGGTAGTTACTGCTGAAAGCAGTCAGAGCTCTAGTGAGAAGCAACAGCATCCTAAATGAGAGCAAGGACAGGCCAGGAAAACTCTTCAGTCATTAGCAGAGGGGCTCCAAAAGTACAGCTGCCCAAGACTACTTCATTCAAACCCAGATACCCAAATATCCCTACACATTTCAGTAGTCCTAGGGTAAAATAACGGATCCATTTACATTCAGAAACAGATGTTTTGTTAAAAAATAGGATTTTTAGAAACATTGATATTTTAGGAATAACTTCTTAGCTTGAAAAGTCTCTTAGGAACAGCTGCTTCTTAATAAGGTAGGGTAAATGAAGTATTACTATGGACAGTGGCTGAATAAAATAAGTAATAGGCTAAACATGGTGGCTCACACCTATAATCTCAGCACTTTGGGAGGCCGAGGTGGTAGGATCATTTGAGGCCAGGAGTTTGAGACCAGTCTGAGCACATAGCAAG